CATGGAAAATAATCATGCAACTCGGTGGGGCACACATTGCACTTGTTACATCTGTAACATGGATCCCAGCCATATGGAATCAGTTCTTTTTTTCTGCAGCTATGAAATTGCTCAGATAATGTATTTAAGCAGGCTAGACAGTAGCTACAAATTACATGTATGTAAATCACTTAGAGGTATGGCTGTACTTAAGGAACCACAACCTGAGGCTGATTGGAGGAGGGTTTTTGCTTTGTCTTATGCTTCCATTTTAATAATTGCATTCTAAAAAATATATTAAGGTTTAGTCCAGTGATTTAGGTCAAGATCCAAATATCTTAATCTGTTTCAGGTAGCTATTGCTTTTGACAGATATTAATTCATTCCACAAGCAGTTTTCTTAAAGAGTAGTTCCCACATCAAGGTTCTCCCTTAACAGGCATTTTCAGAATCAGTTTTGAATTTGTATTTCACTATGAAGAAGATATGGATTGCAATTCCTATGTTCTGGAATTCCCGTTCTGTGTAGCTCACTTTGCCCTTTCTCTTTCAGTTTTTTGAAGGCCTATAAACATAGCTGTTTTCATGCAAGCATTTGATTATCCCTGTCTTGGTTGCTTTTTAGGTTTTAGTAGGATTTTATGTACTATATTGTTGTTATCTATTCTAATGTACTTATTATCATGTCATTTTTAATGCCTGTCAGCTACTTTGAGGGCTGCATGTGTTTTGGGAAAGTGGCAAATAAATGCATTAATAAATATGCTCTGAAGTTGCTTTACATTGTTAGAAATGTATCCATTACTGTATACATTTATAGTGGCACATAAACAGAGATGGAGAGCATCAATCATTCTTTCATGTGTGTAGCTGGGTTTGACATTTGGCCTTAAGTAGACGCTAAATAGATATAGTTCATTACATGCTTTCATATGTAACATATAGAGGTTGGTGGTTTTTCTGAATCTGATTGAAAGAAAGCACAACATTTTTCCTTATTCAAGACCTCAGTAGTGCCTTAATCTGTTGCAGTAGGACCCAGGAACAGGAAATTGACCTCACATAGTAAATTCTTTACAGATTTGGTCATGTTTTTAGGACCCATTTAAACTTACATACACAATCTGTGAATGTATTTCTGGACTGAAGATTATGACAAGCCAAAGTAAAAGCAAATCGAACTGAAACAGCAAGAAAAAGCTGTAAGCAAATAAACAGAAAAGAACGAGAAGGCTGTATGTTACATGTTAAAGAAAGGAAATAAAGTTGGAAGCAAATGCAGGAGAGACAATCTTCTCCTTGATGTGCAATCAGAAATGCTAATGTACTGTATTTTAATAGGATGATCAAGAAGAGAAATATATAATGTAAAAAGTAAAATGTAGTCGTGTAGCAACACAAAATATGGTGCAAAAAAAGCATTGCAAATAAAAAACGACATGTAAATGTGTGCCTACCATTTTCCAGATAAGAAGGGGCCGTACCTTCTGAGGGGTCAAGGCGGCGAGCCCGCCTTCCATGTTTGGAGTTGTTGTGTACGAACATGTTGTCCGAGACAGCCAGAACATGGCCGTCCACATTGACTGTTGTTGATACAACAACCTGGGGGAGAAAAAGAAAAGAAGCACATTTCTTTTTTGAAGCATGTAGTCAGAAAATGTAGTGCAGCTGCTACAATAAGTTTAAACAACAAAGTGGAAACATATAATCTGTTCCTTTTCTCTGTACATAGATTTATTCATAGATGCATTCACTCCTTTTTGGCTATCAGTGGAGATTTTTCAGCTCACAGTTTTTTCCCTCCTCCTCAACACCCGCTGCACTAATTAGAGTTTAATCTCCTATTATGCTAACAAATGAATTCAATTCAGGGAAAATATTCTTCTAGCCATTAGTTTCAGAAACACCCCTCTAACCACTCATTTTAAAAGCTACTGTTTTGATTGATCTGTTGATATATTGATTAGATAGTTTATCCAATTAAAATTTGTACACTTGAGACTGTCTTCAAATGAAGAATTGTGAGCACTCCAAGTCAGAGGGGGAAAAATATTTTGCTTAATAAATCAGTAACTATGTGTAACTCTCTGTTTTCTCTCCAGAAATGATCTCTAGGTCACTTTCACAATTAGATTTAATGTCTGATAATGAACTTTTTTGCATCTGAAAAGACCAAGTTTAATATTAATACTAAAAGTGCTTTCAATTCATGAAAAGTATCCATTCTCAAGTTTAGTCGGACACTCACTGACCCTGCTTTGCCAATGAAAATTCCTTCTTTATTTTTAACTGAAAGCTTTCTGTACTTGTTTCCAAGTTTAGAGTCTTGCCATAGAAGAGATGTCAGACTTAGTAAGTTTTTTTTAAGGAACAGTTACAAAAATGCACGCCCTTGGCATTAAAAAATTCTGCCCCATAGAATTGTGAGTTGCATTCTAGAAGTGCTACTGTAATTATCAATGGATGAAAAGTCTTTACTTATTGTACTTTGAGGTACATATGTAAGTTACTTGCATAGGCAGTGTTTATTACCATAATACAATATGGCCAGATTTGGGAGCCAAATTTATAAATTTATTATGAAAGGTTCAGATTCCCTAACTTTATTTAAACCACTCTTGTACTGTTACTCATGTTTGTCCTGCCCTTCCCAGTGGAGCAATTGCTCTACATTTTTGGTTGTACCCAGTTGTGTCCCTCCATTGATGGAAAGCAATTTGATCCAGCAGAGGTTTTTGTTAGCAGAAAGTGGGAGGTGATATTTGATGATGAGGGGGTGCAAGGGACTGCGAAGGGAGAGGGGAATCAGCAAAAATCATGATAGATGTTGTAGGGGACTTGAGGAGAAAGGGAGAATTTGTGAATCGCGTTTCAGCTTGTGGAAGCCTTTACTGAATCAAAGAGCCTTCCATCAGCAGTGAAACAACTCAATACAACCTTTTGCTTTTAGTTTAAGAACAACAGAGAACGGTGCTACAGCATATTAAAAGGACCAACCTTTTAATTTCTGTTGGGAGGAGAGAAATGGAAAAAGGTGTATCCTACGACAACTTACTATAAATGAAAACACAGGACACTTTTCCTTTCCCAGTGGGTCCGAGGCATCAGATGTAAATTCTTTCCTATTTTCTATGTTTTAGATCACCTTTGATCCTGTTTTTTTCCACATGCTGTAATTAGCTATCAGCTATTACAGCACCTTCTCCTGTATATTCTGCCTCCTCTGAGCCAGCCATCTGTGTTCCCCTTGAGAGAAGCCTGGGGGTGTTTCTCTAGAAGTCTGTGATTCTGCAGCCTGCACTGTTTTCTCCGAAGAGTCAGACTGTATTGCTTCTCCAGGACATCCATTATGGGAGATTCATAAAGTTGGACTTTGCCTCCAGTATCCCAAATTCCAGTCCCTGCAGTCACATTACTAGGCTAGTTGCTTTTCACTTTTAATGAATTATAGAGGTGACTGACATCCCCCAGTCCTATGTACATATAATGCTTTTAGAAACAGGGTATTGTAAAGCACATTAAAGAGCAATTCTAAGGGAAGTTGGGGTTCCTCCCTCTCGTTGCTAGGCCACAGTATGTTTTCCAAAAACAGATAAAATTGTATTTAATATATAAAACACGTTTTGTTCCGTCACTGATATATAGGTCAGTAATCACAAAAGGAAAATTCTATAGTTCAGCAAAAGTACATATGCTCTCTCCTTTGTTTTATTGGCTCATTCCTGCAGTGCACCTAAAGAAAAGTGCTGAGATAGTAAAACAAGTTGAAAATATTGTTCAAGACCTGACATACTGTTAAATCCACTTAACTCTTCTAAGAAGTAGGTAGCTTAGTTAAGGAAACCCAGGGAAGTCTTCCTAGTGACTTCCTACTGGCTACATTGCCAACCACAAAACTATTTATGGCTGATGCTTCATTTAGTCACTGGTGAGACATGAGGGACATTTCCACTCATTGTAGGTTTTACCTTATACTCTGTTCAGATGGATCAATATTATCAATCCACATGAACCTGAGCTGCATGAAAAATTGAAGCTTGGTGCAATTGTTCTGAAGAGTTGTTTTTCTCTCTCCAACTTGGCTAGCATCACTTGATTGGGTTGGCTATGCAAAGAAGCCCACCTTAATTACTTTAATAGTAAGTTACTCTTCTCAGAACCATCTCTCGGACGGAAATGTTTCTAATCTAAAATGTTATATTGCTCCATAACTATTCCCAGTTAAAACAACAACAATCAGTTAAAACAGAAAGTTTTCTATATTGGTTTTGAGTTACCTACAGTAGTTTTTTTTATAAAACTGCAACAAGAAACAAATAGAAAATAACTCTTATTAAGAAAATTGACTTTTATAACATGAAACCCATAAAGATTGAGCCAAAACCCAATAAATTCCATGAACATTAGCTGCCCCACCCCAACAAAGTAAAACAATGGTATTTGGCATGTAACAAAACTTTTCTGAACAGTATAACTACTCCACTACGTAAGGATTTTTTTGAAATAATCCTTAAATGTTTTCAAATTCTTGGTGGTTAATCTGTGCAAAACATATACAAATTGTCTCTGTGCACATCAAAGCTTAAAACCTGAACTATTGGCCAGCAAGAGGTATGGCCCCGCCCTTTGGGATTACTACACATGTTCTTGGTGGTGGTGGGACATCTCAGATTAGGTCTACTTAGATAACCAGAAGAGGGGCAGCTACTGTGACAATGGAAATGAGAGAGGCAGGCGCTCTTGTTGCTTTACTGCGTGGCCTGGAAGATTGGGAGATCTGACTTGCAGAGGTCACAAAGAACTGAAAATACAACATGCAATTAAATTTGGCAAATGTTCGTAACAGTTAGGGAGAAACGACAGAGTCTCCTTAAATCAACTGCATAATGCTTCTTCTGTGCAAGTACTTGCAAGCCTTAGCTGTTTTTGAAATCTGTACCTGGAATCTTCGCATATCTCGTGGGTTTCCTGCATTCTTCAAACAGTTCTGATTGCACTTGAGGAAAAACTTTAGAAAAAATCTACAAAAATACAAAATTAAAATTTGTTAGGGATGTCAAAGATACAGGACGGATTTGAAAGTATGCAGCAGATTCTATACCAAAAATTACAAGTGGAGTGTTTCCAAAAACAGAATGCCATTTTTCTTGTTTTATTTATTTCATCTATAAACTGAAGCTCATACCAATAGCAGTATGCCCTTGAACAATCGCATCTTCCAGTCTTGAGAAGAGAATAGATATTTTGGGCCAGATACTTAAGTGAACAGTGCAGATCAATCGGCCACATTTATAGTGTGCTCTTATGCATGATTACACAGAAGTAAGTTCCACTGTCTTCAATAGCATTTACTCCCTAGTAAGAACATTTAGGATTGCAGTCTCAATCTGAAATTCCATGTCTATTTATTTGGAAATAATCCCATTGAACTCAGCAGAAGTTACTTTCCAATAACTATGTGTAGGACTAGGATGCTGTTTAATACAAAGACAGACACTGAAATCAAATGTGTGACTAATGCATGCCCCCCCAATAACTGCTATAATGACTTACAATTTATAATTTCTTATATATTGGGGTTTAAAAACCCTTGTATATTTTTTCCAACTGTACACTTGAAAGCACATGGAAAAGATAATCTTATCTTATTCCAACAACATTTAGACTTTGCCTAATAGTATAGCTGCTCACTGTTTTTTAAAGGGTGAAGAACCCTTGATAGCTATTCAGTCCAGCAATCCTTGGTGGAGAAGGCTCAATTGCCATGAGTCATGACCCTGACCCTGAGCAGCAGTACTGATTTTGACACAAAGGAGGAAGAAAAACAAATTGGATCATGAAAATCAGTGGTGCCAGCCAAGGAGATACTGATGGTAGGCCAGGGAGATGCCCTAGCACTGAGTCTCAGCCTGTCATCTAGAAGCTCCTTGAACCAGAGGCCTCACAATTGGATCTCCTAGAGGCAGCACCCTGTGAGCCAGATTCCTCTGAAGATCCAGTCCCCTTTACACCAGGAGTCCCATGCTTCTCAGTGCCTGCTCACCTGTACAGGCAACACACAAGGCAGGAGCTGATGGAAGGGTGACACAATTCTGGTCCCTAGCCACAAGGACTACCCCTTTAAGTTTCTCCACTCTTCGGGAAGGGGATGGCTCTTGAAATGGGTATTAGGCCTCCATTGAGCTCCGGGTGTTGGTGAAGTAAGTTATGTGCTTGGAACTATCCAAGGTACTGCAACCCTAGCTTCTCCCTACATACGACTTGACTGGCATCCATCATCATGTCTCTGTACCCCACTCATGGTCAGGGCATCACACCAAGATCCACAAAACACCATGAAATAAATAGCAGGTTGTACAGTTAAAAAGTTTTCATCAGTTGCGCCTTTTCTGTTTCAGCTTTTAAATGTTTAGTACATCAAAAGATAAAAACTGAAGACACGAACTGGGCATTTCAGCCATGCCATATAGGAAGCTCTTATATATAAGAGGTGAGCAAGGTCTCCCCATGCTTTTCTTTTTTTCTTCTTTAACAACAAATAAGAATAAACCCCTGCCATAACTTCAAGCAGCACCATGGCTGCCCTGGCTGCATTCTTGGAATGGAATGTCCTTGGGAACATTACTATGTCACAAGGTAGCATTGCTTCCAGAGGCATTCTACACTGGAAATTTGGGTCAGCCCTTGAAGCGTCAGTAATGTCTCTTGTTGAAAAACTGAAAAGAAAACCTTGGCCACCTTGCATATTTAAGGTAGGATTACCATTTTATTTTATTTTTAGAAATTCAGCTCTCCAAAGATTAATCTCCTCCCTCAAAGATTACACCCCTCATTCATGCAATTATTTCAAACAGTAATTCTGTAAGTGGCATATATGGTTGGCAGAGACCTCCTGCTATAATCTTAATTATGCCAATGGTGTGTATGCAAACCCACTGGCAACTGGGGATGTACAACAGGCTGAATACTACCATGGCAGGAAGTCCCATGCAAGGAGAGGCTCAGAACATGACATCCAGAGCACAGCCTCATCTAATCACTCTGAAGCATCCAGCAACCTAGACACCTTACATACACATGGACTACTGATATCCACAGCTACTTATAGCCATACCATGACTACAGGGCAAAACAGAGGCCCTTGGGCCGTGCAATCAGTATCAGACTGCATCATCTGCACCACCAATGAGTAGCAAGTAATGGGAAGAAGCACATCAGTGGGTAAAGTTCACTTTCTTCCTGAGCCCTTACCTATTACTCTTGCAGCCTGGATGCTGCACCACTGACCTGCAGGCCAGTGACTTCATTTGTATTAGTGGTAGTTGGAGGCTGCAGTGCAACATAGTTCCCCCTACTATTCTGTACATTTCCTTGCCCATGGATAAAGGCTTAGGCATAGCTATGCACCTCCACTTCCCAGCCTCCACACAGGAGGGCAAGAACTTGGCTTAACACAGCTAGGGAAAAAACCAGAGAAACAAGAGATATCATTTGATGCACTACAAATCTAAGGTCACCAATAAGACTCAGGGTGAAATTCAACATTGCACTAATATGATTGTACCACCAGCATGTGCTTTTCTGCTTGCCAGATGGAACAATATCCCCTCGCCTCTCCCTGCATGCAGTTCTGACCCTGCTGAGTGGATTGGGGGAAGGGGTAGAAAAGCCTCATTGTGCTAGTAGGATTCCTTCAGCTGGCTTCTGCTAGCACAATGGTTTAGTTAAATCTGGCCCTTCAATTTAATGGGGTTCTGGGCAAGCTTGGACTACGATGCTTGAAAAGTATGCCTTCACCAACCTTATATGCACAAAAAATGGAGACTTTTCTTTTGTTAGTAGTAGTTAGCAGTAGTCATAACTGGTGAGAAAATAGAGTTGCAGACTGTCCCCCCCCCCGGTATTTTCAACAGTTAAGAAGAATCCTTGTTTCTGATACAGTTAACATGGGCAAAACATATTACACAGTCTACTTCTTCTTCAAAAGTATTCCAATAACCAGAATAGTATTAATAAATTATTATTATTATTATTATTATTATTATTATTAACCACCAAGGCACATCACAAGGTATAAGAGCACAACTCTTTGCTTGGAAGAGTTCAGAGGAAACAATAGAGAAAGGGGAGGGACATGAAATGTATTTCATTAAACTCTTCTTAGGCTAAGATGTGCAATTCTAACTCCACATACTGGGTAGTATACCCCAGCAAGACCAATAGAGTAGATATGGTTAGCATTTACTATTACAGTACAATGCAAACCCAATGTCTGCTGGGATGTGAAAGTTTGGATTAAGGGGCTCCAGCATTCCCAGCTGAGCCAAGGCTATCCCAGTGTGAGTCCCTCACCCCAAATTACCCAGTAAAAGCCCCTCCCAGGTATATATAAAGCTCCATCAAGAAGTAGTGGCCTAAAACATTGAGGTTTTGGACTCAAACTGACTAAGAAAAAATACAGAGCTAAAAGGAATGTCAAGGGTTTGCCAACTGTACCCTGATGCTTGAAACAAGAGGCATCCTACCCACAGACATCTCCACCGGTAGACACCTTTAGACATGTAGATGGCAACTCTTCAAGGTGTCATGTAATTTTTATCCAACCTAATGCTTGTACAACATACTCTTAAAGACCCTGAGTGATGGAGATGCCACCATAAATCTAGACAGCCACTTCCAAGTGCTCCATTTCAGTTCATAGGTGTCTATCCTTCAGCTTAAATATCTTAGCTCACTCTTTTTAACCTTTTCTAAGATTTACAAAGAAGGTATGTGACCCCTGTCCTTATGGCATCACTCACTGTATCTGAAAACTATTATCAAATTCCTTCTCAGGTACTACAATCTGACCTATTCACCTTGGGAAGGACCCTTCTCTGCCTCATCTACTGTCTATACACACACACACACACACACACACACACACACTCACGTTAGATTCCACATAATAGCAACTACACTGGAATATGGTTTGGTGGATTCTGAATTGAACTTGCTGCCATGAGGAAACAAATGCAATACTTGAAAATTTTGTCCAGACCAATTTTAAGCTAAAAGAATGTTGGGGAAGGAGATATTTATTCTAGGAAAAGCACTTTCTTTGATCCTAATTAATCATCCCTCAAAGGACTCTTTAAGCTGTGCCTGGGGCAGAGCCCCTAACAGCTTAAAATATCCTGGAAGGAAGAGTTAAATTAGGGTCTAGGGATGTGCAGCCTGAGGTACACTTCCCCTAATCCCAATTTCCCACCCAAATTCCCATACACTATGGTTATGGAAAGAGAAAGGTAAATATATTTCCCCTATACCATTCAAATCCAGGGTTGAGTCTCTTCTTAGTTACCTGTTCACCTATTGCTTAACCTTAGAATTTTAGGCTAAGTGCTGTAGAACTGTTACAATGATAATGATGATAATGAATTATTCATCTGTTAGTATTTATTATTGTTTATCTATTAAAACAATTTGTTAGCTGTTCTACACAGGGCTTTTTTGCTAGAAACATGGGTGCTGGTCATCACAACGAAGTTGTTACAGTAAGTGCCGCACCTTTTAACGACAACAATGAGAGGTGTTGGTACTGCATACCCTTGAGTAGCCCCAGAAAAACAGCACTGGCTCTTCTCAAGGCAATGCACAAACAAAAGTGAAGCTAACAAACTTCTAAAAAACGGGGAGGGGGGGGAGGAACACAGTAGAAAAAGCATATCAACCAACCAGCTGAACCAGAGGTCAAACAGAAGAGATCTGCTTCACAGTCCCTCCAGAAGTTCAATAAAAAGGGTGAATTGCAACTTCAGTGGGAAGTTCAATCCACAGCCTCAGGGTAATTGATGTGAAGGTCCAGTTTCCCCCCTCAATAGTTCTTATTTCACTCTGAGCAGGGCACAAGAAGATTACCAAGCTGGCATGTAGGGCAATATAAGGACAGTCATTGATAGGATCCGAATTATGAAGGGCATCGTTAGGTAGATTTAGTTTGCAAGGGTTCAGGTAGAGTGGTTATTAGGAGTAAAGAGTA